GACACTCTAGTGGATTTAATAATGGGGAAGAATTGGCTTCAGTGGGAGCTGTTTCAATGACTATGACAGACACAGTCCTTCTTAGGGATTTTGCAGTTAGTAGAGAATTGATACAAGTTAACAATTGTGCTCCTATAGTGGAATGAGGGCCACTCACAGGTAGGATGAGTCCAGTGAAACTGTACTCTTTGGGTGCATGGAGGAGGCCTCCTGGGATTGAGAGCATTAATGCCAGAGAACCTAAGGGTGAGTTAGGAAGGCAGTGGGGAGGGAAGAGTGTTCAAAGCAGATGGGCTCCAGGGACTGGAGTGGAGGGGCAGAGATGAGAGCAGTAGGGGGACGATGAGGCTAGGGAGGTGAAGGGGTAGCCAGGAAGGACCTTCATGTGGTCTCTGTAACCTTTGAAGAGAAGTGGTGGGCATTGGGTCATACACTTTAAACAGGTGATTTGTACGCTCTGAGTTTTATCTCAATTAAGCTGTTATAGAAAGAAAGAGAAGTGGTGGTATATCACATATGTTGGCTGACTGTACTGGAAGAAGGATTGGAAGGAAGACAGAAGCAAATAGAAATTTGTCATCCCACAGACCAGTTAGGAGGCAGTTGTATTAATATGTCTGAGAGATGTTGGTTTGACATAGGCAAGTTACATTTTAGTTGAAGCAGTAGATGAATTATACAGACATTTAGCATGTGTTTGCTAGACCTTAGGCGTTAAGTAAAGTGCCTGATATGTGGTTGGACATTTCACAGATGTAAATATTTCTTGCTGTGGCTGACTAAGAAAGAATTAATTGAATTTCATGGATTATGTTTGGTGTGAGAGTCAAGTGTCCTTCAGAGAGTCTGGCTTGAGCAACTGAGATGAGTTGAACTCAGTGATTGACAACTCAGGATGGAGGAGTAAGTTTTCATGATGAGTTTTACATGATCTAAGAGGAGATGTTTAAGTGTTTAAGTTTTTTTTTTTCCTTTTGCAGTAATTTCTATACCATATACTTTTTAATTATGCAATAGGATAGATTCCCCTCGCAGACACACATGCACACACACACAAAGACAGACACACAGACACAGAGACACATACACAGAGACACACTAATAGATGGTAAGTTTCTTGAGGGGTTGTTGTTGTTCTTAATTGCTGTTGAGTTGGTTCCAATTCATGGCTACCTTATGTACAACAGAATGAAGCACTGCCTTGGTCCTCATAATCATTGGTATGCATAAATTCGTATTTGTGGCCACTGTGTATTTTGAGCGCCTTCTAAACTAGGTAGCTCATCTTCTAGCACTTTATTGAATGGTATTCTTTTGTGACCATAGGATTTTCATTGGCTAATTTTCAGAAGTAAATCACCAGGACTTGCTTCGTAGTATTAGTCTAGAAGCTCTGCTGAAACAAGTCTGCCATGGAAATACCAGTGACATAGCATCATAGCTACACCCAAACTACCACAGTAAGACAAACTGCCAAATGAATGGTGGTCTTGAGGGGTAGGAACCATGTTTCTGCTACCTTTATGCTTCACATAAGAGCCCTGGTGGAGCAGTGTTTGTGTGCATGTCTACTCACTGAAGGATTGGTGTGAGCCTACCAGCTGCTTTGTGGAGGAAAGATGTGACTGTCTGCTTTATTGAAATTTTACAGCCTTGGAAACCCTGTGTGGCAGTCCTACTCTGTCCTATAGGGTCCAGGGTCACTATGAGTGAGAACTGATTCACTGACAACAGATTTGTGTTTGGGTTTTACACTTAATTCTCACGGCAGGTTTATGAAGTATTGTCCCCATTTTAGAGAGAGAGAAAACTCTGTCTCACAGAGGTAGAATGATTTCCCTAAGGCAAATATAGTCCATGCCAGTGCCAAGAACCTAGATTTTGCTTTGTCTGCCCAGTATCCTAGTGAGGTTTGGACCTAAAGCATGACTGAAGTTATAGTCCTTTATCTAAATTGATTCTGATAACTAGTGTGAGATGTTAGTGGGTGGTGGTTGGCTTCATTTTCAAAAGGTAAGATTGTTGTCAGTCTGAAATATATTCTAAATTTTATGTTCAAATTAAGTTTTCTTCCTTTCTTATTTGTTATTGTCTTTCTCTATGTTTCCTGCTTCCACTGACTTGAGTAATGATGGACTGGGACATTTTCAATATTTTTGGCTTTCTAACTGGAGAGAAATATCTTAATGGAGAGAGAGAGAGAGAGTTGGTGTGAGGACCAGAGTAAGTGTCTTTTCTAAATCTGTGTGAATTACCAGCATAAATATGTTCTGTGTAGGAAAAATTGATCGTTAGAAAGAGTTCTGGCAGCCCAGGCAGCAAAAGGAGTATAATCAGGTCAGAGAGAATTTAGCTTTTTAAGGATTTTAGAATCCCAGCCTTGTACTCACTGGCTGTGTAGCCTTGGGTGGATGGTCTATTCTTAGCTTCAGTTTTGTAGTCTGTAAAGTGAGAATGAAGATGTCTCTTACTTCTCAGAATTTTGAGAGAAGGAATAGAATGAAATAAAGGCAAGGACCTGTTTTGCCATAAAGATCTATAGTTGCATTGTCTGGCTTGTAGATCGTCTCTTGGTAATTGAAGTGACAATTTCTCTTCTCGTCTAGACCCATCTAGTTCCTCTCTGGGTCCCTTACCTCAAATGGCAGATTATTGTTGTATATTGGTCATTGACTAATGAGACTCAGAAAAATTATGGTTAGTACAGAGAGGAAAAAAAAAAAAATACCATACTGAGCTATATTGTAGAAGCAAATGTAAATGGTAATTTGATTGACTTTTCCGTTGGAAAAGTGTTCCAGTGTTCTTAATGATCTGGAAGTTGGGCATATCTAACCATGGGATCTCATTTTATGGATGCCATCTCTTTTGTTTCTTGGATTTTTATTTCTTACTGTTGGCAGAAACAACTCTATATTTTCTTTGTATGTAGAAACACTGTGTGATTTTATAGGGAATAGTGTTGAATATACTATTTGGATTTATTAATTTTCCTCTTTAGATGCCAAAGTAATTATTTTTATCTAATTTTCTAGGGAAAATTTTCTAATTTGGTTAATCCTAGGTGGAATGTCTTTTTTTCCTTAATCCTAAACTGCAACTGAGGGAAGGTTTTCACTCTAAGCAACTTGTTCTTTTCAGGCTCGCACTAGACCTACTCCTGCTATTTTCAGTGTCAGAGACGCATGTTTTGAAAACTGTGTTAGTTGATGGTTTTTTTTTTTTTTTCTTTTCCCTATGATTGGCTTGTTTAGGCTCTAAACTTACGCAAAGTGGAGAAAGTAATATGTCTCTGTGTCTTTTCAGTTGCTGAAACTCCAGTGGTCTACAGGGATTTGGGAATTCATTACTTACTGCCTGTTTAGCAGACGATTCATCTAGGCAAAACTTTCATAGGCACTGGAATATTTCTCTTGAAATGTGTTTCTTGAAATACGTTTAGAAAATCGAATTCCTATCTGAAAGCATATTTTCTTTGAAGAAGGAAGTAATCTAGGTTTGTGCTATGTGCTTTTAATCATCCAACTTTGTTGGTAGATTGCCAGCACTGTTGCTCCTTCGTCAGTTTGTTTTCCAAAGGTGGTGGTTAACTTTTTTTATTTTTCTTAATAAGTAAGGATTTTGAAGTGCTCATGAGGAGATTTTTTTTTCCTGGTATCAGGTTTGATTTAAGAGCTTTAGGGAGAAGAGTATGTGATAATTTTCATAGTTTTAGGCATGACCAAAGAAATTATCTTTGCTTCTAAGGCATATAATTGCAGACTGATTTGTTTGTTGTTGTCTCAGTAAAGAGAATCAATCGTTTTTGCGCTTAAGTTTTTTCCCTATCTGGCCCAAGGAACATGAGAACATGAGAAATAGCTGGTTCTCAGAATGATCAGTTGCTTCCTATTTTTGCGTCAGAGCACTGAAGTCAAGGACCATGAGCTTATCCTCGTTATTTCTTCAGTTCCTAACGTGTGGTAGAGAGAACTTGCTTAAGTAAAGATTGTCTGCTTAGTAAAGATTGTTGGATGGATGAGATGAGGTATTAGGGAAGCTGATAGAAGACTGCATTGCACCGAAGCTGACCTTGTAAACAAAAACAGCCCCCCACCCACGCCATAAAATTGTTGTGAGAACTATGTTGGATTGTAGTTTGAATTTACTTTTCTTGTTGTAAGCTCTTAAAAACTTCAGCTTTTCTTGTTGAGTTTAGTTCTGGGAGTTTATTAGAGAAGCTGTTATTAGTGGAAATTTAGAAGAAACCAAAAACTACCTAATATTCCCAAAAGATGGAAGGTTGTTCCTGGAAGCTGTTATGTTTTGTTAAGACAGAAATAATGTATCTTTGGGGGGAAGGCACCCCTCCTTCCCCCAAAATAACTAGAATGGTAGACTTAGAACATACAGAAAATGTAATTGAAGGCAAAACAATCTTGCTTTGAGGCCATTCCTTTTAATTGAGTCAAGTCTACTGTTTTTTCTTGAGAGGAACTCTGGGAGTTGCGAGAAGGGTCTAGAAAGGGTTTTCAGAGGATAATGCACAGTGATACTTCCTAAACATTTTCCAAGGTTTTTTTAAAATTTTTTTTTTTTTTCTGTTAGAAATAATTGTTACTACAGTTTCTTTCCCATTTAAATCAATATTATGGGTTGTGAAGAAGTTATTCAGTGTAAGTGTACCCACTATATGTTGCCCATCAGGGTATGCTTTTTCTTTAAAATGGAGAAAACAATTGGTGTACAAGAAAATATAATATACTCTTAGGCATTCAGGCATGTTTTGCTCTTGATGATTGTAGAAAACACCAAACCATTTGCTAGCTGATGCCAAAAGCAGTATATTTAAGTATTATGACACAAGTCTTTCCTAACTTCTTTCCTGTGGACTTTTAGAAGATTTTTAGAACTAAAACATGAGTAATTAAAAGATTCATTTAACAAAAATAGTATTTTAGGGAGGAAATATGAGAAAATGTTCAGTTAAAAATGAATTATTCTCTTTCATTCTCTCCTAAATAGCATTTTTGAAACGTTGGGGTTGTTGGAGTGGTTAGATTTTTCCTGGAATTGAGTAAGAAATTCAGAAGACTGAAGCCCAGGCTTACTGTCTACCTTTCACGGAGGCCTAGCCGTGAGAGGACAGAAGAAGGCACGTGGCGAATCATGACAGCTGACAAAGACAAAGACAAAGACAAAGAGAAGGACCGGGACCGAGACCGGGACCGAGAGAGAGATAAAAGAGACAAAGCAAGAGAGAGTGAGAATTCAAGGCCACGTCGGAGCTGTACTTTAGAAGGAGGAGCCAAAAATTATGCTGAGAGTGATCACAGTGAAGATGAGGACAATGACAACAGTGCCACCACGGAGGAGTCCACGAAGAAAAGCAAAAAGAAACCACCGAAAAAAAAATCACGTTATGAAAGGACAGATACTGGTGAGATAACATCCTACATCACTGAGGATGATGTTGTCTACAAACCAGGAGGTAAGGAGCATTGCATTTGCTGTTTGTGGCAGAGAAATGATACTAATATTTAGTTGAAATACATACCTATTTTTTATATGTTAAGGAGGGAGACTTTGAACCCACTGGAGTATATGGTAATTTGGGGTAGAAAAATGTGATACAGTAAACAGTTAACCACATTTGGCCAATTGGGTTTACCCATTTCTTGCTTGTGCCTGCCACCTTAACTTGGTCTGTACGTTTATCCTTCTTCACCTCTTTTCCAGTGTTGCTTGTGCTGTTACGTACCATTGGTTGAGTGTTTCTCATCTTTTGAATTCATCCTTGCTTTTTTATCTTTAACCACACATTAGTGGGGTGACTTTCAGAATGGAGTACATGGGACAAGTAAACCTAGTGATTCTTGGAAATAGGAAACTTTAAATTGGCTACAAGATTGACCAGAAGGTACACTTACTGCCATTGACTTGATTTAGACTCATAGCAACCAGAAGCTGGAAACTTTTCTTTTTTTAAACTTTTTATTATGCTCTTGGTGCATATTTACAAAGCAGATTCGTTTTACTCTCAACAGTTCATACCACATTTGGTTTCACAGCCCTAATTACAATCCCAACAATAAAAAACTCTTCCCATTTCCTCCCCGTGACTACCCACCCCTTCCCTGTGACCTTGTTATCTGTGCATTCCTGTCTGTCCAGCTTTCCCTCCATGTAAATCCTGCCCTACTGATGTCTCACAATTGGTTGATCTAAGGGGTGCATCTCCTTGGGGTACATATTCTGCTTGTAGGCCTTTCTGCTGTTTGGGTGAGAGCTAATCCATGAAGGTGAGTCCAGTTTCAGGCTCAAAGGATAACCTGGAGATATAGACTCAGGGGTTCCACCAGTATCTATCCAACCAGTAATTCTGGTTATTTTTCTGTTTTTGAATTTTGTCCCATATTTTTCCTCACAATCTGTCCATGAGCTCCAATTCTGATCCCTTTCCAAGTCGTTGACATTGGTAGCTGGGCACCACCTAGTTCTTCTGGAAGAGACATATTTTTAATGGCCTTCAGACCAAAGTTTATTTCTCCTGCTAACCTTTCCCAAAGTATTGAGCTTCAGGCTCTCTAATCAGTGGTAGTAGATGAAGTCAACTAACGTGCTTGGTTTTCCAGAAGATGTACTAGGCCCTTCACTGTATTAAGGTTTACAGCATTGCTGGAAGAGAGAGAGGCTCAGCTTTTGGCTGAGGCACAAGTAAACAAATGATTCAAAACTGGTCAGACACCAGCAAAAACCTTCTCTTAAATGTATTCTGTATTAAGATACTCTTCATGCAGATGATAATAGAACTAGCTAAGATTATTTTGTTTGAATTACTTTTACTGCTGACGAGTGACATGAATTTCATATGAGAAATAATTAGCAGATCAAAAGTCACCTAGTTTGGTGTTTTTCCAGGAAAGGGAGATTAAAGAGACTTCACTGTATTACATCATTAATCTGGCACAGCCATTTCACTGAGGAGTACTCTAACTATTCTGAACTTCATATAAAGTTACAGATTTTTCTTGTTCCACATAGGAATGGGTTTTGAACTATAAAAGATGATCGATATTAGAACTCACAAATAATCTTGTATTCACAGCTGCAACTTCTTAATTTGATGATTAGCTGTGAAAATATTTATTTGATGTAAAAAATCACAGTTGAGGTGTTGCAGAAGTTAGAGCACTGCTGTAGGGATTTACTAATGTATAGAATACAGTGCTATCAGTATTCATCTTTGATTGAGACATAGCTATTGGATACTAAGAATGAAGTCTTCACCACTAAAGAATCTCATGATAGAGTTACCACAGATTGCTTTTAATGGGCCTGTTTAGTTGTAGGTCACGAGAAAGGAATAGAATGTGTCAACTCTTTCAGGTTTAGATCTGCTTGCTTGTTATTCCTTTCTTTTGCAACCTAGCACTTTTAGAACTGTGTCAGTGGTAATATGATTGTTTGGGCCATGGTCATGTGCATGCAGTATTTAGCACCAGCCTTTCTCACAGTATATAATGTGAAACATTCTGCCTTTATATATATCAGTAAGCATCCTACCCCAAAAACTTTGTAGTCAACTATGTGTGGGAAAAGTTGAACATACTGTCCCCATTGTGAGAGATTTATAATTAAGGACTCTGAGAAGTCCTGCTATTAAGGAAACCCCTTTAATATTACAAAACGTGCTGTGCACCCTGTTGGTATCTTCTGAGAAAACAAGTTTTGAAAAAACCAGTTTGGGAAATGTGGTACATTCATCTTGCATGTCTATACAAGATGATAAGACATTCTTTTGGATATTAAGAAGAAAATGTGAAGGGAGATTGCTAAGGACTTATTTATGAAAACAAAACAGTAAATAAATAAATAAAAATTATAGCAATAAAAAAAAAAACCCAGACCGGTTGCTGTCTGGTTGGTTCTGATTCATGGCGACCCTATGTGTGTGGAGTAGAACTACTACATAGGGTTTCCAAGGCTTTGACCTTTTGGAAGCAGAGCACAAAGCTTTCTTCTGCTGGACGCTCTCTAAGTGGCTTCAAACTTCAGTTAATAATTGAATGCTTAACTATTTCCACCACCCACGGAGCCTAAAAAGAGTAAATTAAAAACAAAACAAAAACCAAAACCTTTTTTTATTTTGATTTCAGTGATTTTACAGAGCAAGTTGGTTTTCCATTCCACTGTTTGTGCATGTTTTGTTTCGTGACATTGAACGCAGTCTCCCAAAAATAGGAAACGCTTCATGAATTTATGTGCCTTCCTTGCACATGGGCCATGCTAATCTTCTCTGTATCATTCCAGTTGACACATGTGCTGCCAAAGCAAACACAAAACAAGTTTTTAATAAAGTATTTTTGAAGAACTGTGTACTTAAGGTGGAGGCATCATTTCAGTAAATCTAAGGACTTTGTGAATTGTGAAAAATGTATACTGTGTCTAGAAGTTAATATTTTATAAAGGATCTTTGAAGGCCAAAAGTGGTTCCAGAGTTCTTTTGTAACACCCAAAGCATAACCACGTGGTGAGAGGCCCAGTTTGCATAGGAAGTGACAGTGTGGGACAGGCAAAATCCAACACATTTTTGACTTTTTGCTAAGGAGACTGTATTTTGACGTTCTGAGGATTTTATTTTATTTTTTGAAGATACATTTGTAGTCTTCTCTAAATCGTAGATTTTGTGGTATAGTGCCTAAGACATTTGACTGCTAAGCAGAAGGCTGGCAGTTCAAACCCACCAGCCACTCCTTGGAAGGAAAGTTGGGCAATCTACTTTAGTAGTGATACCACCTCAGAAACCCAAGGAAGGGTTGCTATGGGTCAGATCCGACTTGGTTGCAGTGAGTTGTTTTTTTTTTGGTTTTTCCAAATAACTACTGCTTTTTAAATGGAGGCTTGTTAAAAATTGCTTGTTTTTTGTGTTTACTAAAACTAAAGAATCAGAAGTATGGTACTGTGTTTAGATTCCCAGATGGGGCTTGATTTATGTGTGCGTGTGTGTGTTTTCTTTATTGGTGTGTTGTTAGGTGCCACTGAATTGACTTTAACTCATACCAACCCATGTGACAGAGTAGGACTTCCCTGAGGGTTTTCTAGGCTGTAATCTTTACAGAGGTAGATCACCACCTCTTTCTCTCATGAAGTGGTTGGATGGGTTTGAATCACCAACCTTTTGGTTAGTGGCTGAGCTCTTAACCATTGAGCCACCAGGACTCCTTGTATTAGTGTAAACCATTATAACAACATCCTTTGTAGTGATTGAAAACAGTTATTTTTACCCAGTTGCAGTTATTTAGGCAGTCCTCTGGTTACAAAAGAGTTCCATTCCTAAGTGTGTCTTTAAATCATATGTGTAGGTAAGTTGGAATAGGTGCATAAGGTTCTTATTTAAACTGTAGTGCAGGAAAAAGCTTAAAGGCTTTTCAGTGATTTAAAAGCTGCACATGAAGCAAGTGAAGGTGATTGTGATGAAGAATTGGTTGTGAGTAGAGGTTGTTGGTTCAATTGTGTCCAAGTAGGAGCAAATTTACATAAGGTTAAAGGGCAAGTAGGAGTTGTCCATAAACCCGGGACTGCTTGTATTTAGTTATAGTTTCTATGTTTAGACCTCTCTACAGGTAGTTATAAAGGATGTCTTCAGTAGATTGATAGTTTTCGAATGGTAGATCTTTAATGATCATTTGTTTCTTTAGGATATAAAGCATAGGTCAAAATTAGTTGGTTTTGTTTTGCTTTCTGCTTTTCTGTATTGCTTTTAATACTCAGATTAAGTATAAATCATAGGTACCTCCCAAAGTGTATTAAAAATGAGACAGACCAGCAGTGATACCTTGAAGATAAAAATAGGCTATTATCTTTGTCTTTAGGGGACAGGTATATATTGAGATTATTTGGTGTGGTAAACAAATAAGAAATTCTCTGAGATAATTTTTTGAGAAATCATGTGCATTTAGAACTGGTCACTAGCAAAGATTTAGTTCCATGCACCACCACCCCCCCACCCACCCAACTTTTTATTTTGATTTGGGTGAAATTATGCAAAGCAGATTCCTTTCACATTCAGCATGTCATACACAAGTTGTTTTGTTGACACTGATTACAATCTCCACAGTATAACAGCTCTCCTCCTCCTTCCTTTTGGTCACCCTTTCCCCATCTCCTTCCTGCCATCCTCCCTGTGCAAATGCTGCCCTTCTGATATCCCATGGTTGCTTGTTCTCCCTGGTCTCCCTGGTGTAATTTATTGTTTGGCTGAACATTAGTTATGTGAATGAGTCCAATTCCAGTCCAAAGGATGTCTAGGGGCACTAGTCGCAGGGGTTTCACTAATCTCTCTCTGGCCAATAATCTTGATCTTTTTTTTTTTTTTTTTTTAATTTTGTTCCATATTTTTTTCCCATTCTATTTAGGATCTCCAATTTTGATCCCTATTTGATTGGCTGGCAGTGGTAGCTGGACACCACCCAGTTCTTCTGGTCTCAG